TTACACTCAATATAAAAAGTTATTGTAGAATTAAATTTCATGCTTACTTAGATACAGGAAGTACAATAAGCTTATGCTTACCAAATGTACTACCATCTGAATACTGAAAATACAATTCAAAAAAGATAGTCACTGCTACAACAGCAGGTGGAAATAAGGTAATATACAACAAGTATGCTACGCAAGTACCTTTTCTAATTTCCTTTAGAGAAGTATTTGTTGATACAATATATATGTCAACCACAATAGGATGTGATATTTTATTAGGACAAAATTTCCTATTAAAATATGCACCATTTACACAATATATTAGTAAGTATATGTTCACAACACCTTGTGCACATAAAATATTTACACCAAAAATAAATAAAACTGTTACAATTGCATATAGGGATATAAACCATTAGAGTTCCTCAACCCAGCGTGGTGGATGTTGGAGTACAGAAAAATTTAAACCAGTTACAGTCTTAAAAATGACAACAAAAAATGGGTTGGAAAAATTGAAAAAAAGAAATTTCTGAAACATATTCTGAAAATCCATTAAAAAAATGGAATACAGACAAAGTAAAGGCAAAGATAAAATTAATCAATCCAGACATTATAGTAAGAGTCAAACCTATGAAATATAGTGTTGATGATCAAAAAGAATTTAAAAATCAGATAAAAGAATTGCTAGAAGCCAGATTGATTAGGCCTAGTAAAAGCCCAAATAGCAGCCCAACCTTTATGGTTAGAAAACATAGTGAAATAAAAAGAGGAAAAGTCAGAATGGTAATAAACTACAAAAAGTTAAATAGAGTTACTAAGTTTGATGGATATTATTTACCAAATAAGGACACCCTTATTAAGCAAGTACAAAATAAAAAGATATTCTCAAAATTTGATTGTAAGTCAGGGTTTTGGCAAATCATGCTTACAGAAGAAAGTAAACCACTGACTGCATTCAGTACCCCCAATCCTTTGGGACAATACGAATGGAATGTAATGCTATTTGGGTTAAAAAATGCACCACAGATATTCCAAAGAAGAATGGATGAGGTAATAAAACCAATTACTCATTTCTGTATTGCATATGTTGATGATTTACTTATTCATTCAAATAACATTGATGAACTTATTGAACATCTTGAAAAATTTTGTTATATTATGAAAAAAACATGGTATTACACTTTCTCAAAAGAAAGCTGAGATAGTCAAAACAGAAATAGAGTTTTTGAGATTATTTATCAAAGAAGGAGAATTGCAATTGCAATCCCATATTGGAGAAAAATCAAGAATTTCCTGAAAAAATCAAAGACAAAAAACAATTACAAAACTTCCTTGGTATATTAAATTATGCTGAAGGATTCATTGAAAATTGTGCCAAATTAAAAAATTATTTTCTTCCAAAGTTAAGAAAAAATATAATATGGTTTTGGGAAAAACAAGATTCTGAAAATATAAGGAAAGTTAAAGAAGAGTTAAAGGTATTGCCCAAACTTGTAATACCACAAGAAGAAGATTTCTCTATTATTGAAACTGATATTTCAGATTATTACTGGGGAGCAGTCTTAAAAGTAAAAAAGAGTCATAAAGAATATAAATGTGAAAAAGATTGTGCTTGTCCTGAGATACTTGCAGGTTATACATCAGGAACCTTCAAAGAAGTTGAAACAATATATGAGACAAACAGAAAAGAACTCATTGCTGTTAAAAGAGGAGTTCAAAAATATGAAGATTATTTATTACCTAAGAAGTTCTTGATTAGAACTGACAATACTCAAGTCAAAGCATTTTTGAAAAATAATGTTGATCCATCTATTGCTAATAGATATATTATTAGAATACAAATTTGGTTCTCATATTTCAAATTTGATATTGAATATATTAAAGGAAAAACTAACTTTCTTCCTGATTATCTTAGCAGGGATGGAGCTAGAACAACCAAGGACGAAAGTCCAAATACTTGAGATAAAAGTTTCCTATTAGGAAACACAAATTCAAAATATCCAACATAGCATTCGAGGCAAAAATATAGCCCTTGAGGCAGGAGTTACTTGTACCAAGACTAGTATCCCTTCTCAGAGACTTGTGAATACTAGCGCTCTCCCCGAAGATAAAGGGAAAGAGAAGAAGGTAATAGGAACCCATTCGCAGGAAAAACTTGAACCTATTACTGGTAATAAAGATATTCAAGATATCAAAAGAGAAAGTAGCTCTTCACAGAGCCAAACTCAATCTAAACTTTCTATTGAAAGGATAGATTCAAAAAATATTGTCAAGATATGCCATGAAACAAAAATTCCCAGAAAAGATAATTATGAAGAAGTAAAACTCTTTATTGTTATTTTTAATATTTTATCAGATTGGTATCTGGAGATTGGAAAATGAATGAAGACTCTCCATTATTCAAAATACAACAAGATAAATTTTTATCCATGAGCACCAGCCAACTGGGTTCGAAATTGTTTTGAAATAGGAAAAATACTTTGTATATATCCTAGCAAAGATTTCAAAGAGATAGCTCAGCTTCCAGCCAACATTAGGAAAGCTGTTAAAAGATATACTGAAATCGTCAAGACAACAAATATATATATCAGATTCCATTCAGCAACCATGGAATGGGATCTCGTTCTTGAATATATGCATCTATCGTTCCATGTGATAAAAATGGGATTTACAAATCAACATTTTTTACCAACCAATCAAAAGGTTGTTAAAAATGGATATCAAGATATTCTAAATATGATACCCTACAAAAGAGCAAAAGGGTACAAAGAGATATTTGAACATATAACTCAGATAATTATTGAGAAAGAAAAAATATGAATTTATCCATCTGAAGATCATATTATCTATTCCAATGCAAGGATGGCTACCAAAGAAGAAGATATTTGTTATCTCGACCATTTATTATCTGCAATTATTTCCAACCAAGTGCATGGATCAGAAGATATGGCTAAAGAACTATGCAAATTACTTTGAAATTATAGTGATCACCATTGTGAATACTGTGTAGTTGAAGATATGAGCCAAGCATCTCTTAATAGTGAAGAATTCCTTGCAGAATTCTTTGATTCAAAATGAAAAAGTGATGGTGACAAAAGTAGCCCTTTATCACTACTTTAATAAAGAAACTTATTAAAGAAAAACCGTGGCTACTAAAAGACAGAAGATATTGCAAGAAAAGTCTCCATAATTGTAACTACCCCCACCAATTGTTACAAGTGGCAGACAAACTCAAAAGATAAGGTATCTAATTTCAAAAGAAGAAGTCCACCAGCAAGAAGATAATGGAAAAATTCGGTGGAGATAAGATGGCCTAGCTGCCCAACAAAGAAAGAGGAAAACACCTGTCAAGATAATGTTCCCAAAGGCTTCTATAAAAGGAGGCAAGGAGGAAGAAAGAAGAGATCTCGAAATAGCTTATCTCTTAAACATATCTAAGAGAAATCTTTTGTAATCTGTATACACCACTTGTATCCATAAAAAATATTAGATAGCTTGAAGATAGGAAAGCGTGTAATAAGATAATCACTTATGGAGTTCTAAACTTCATAAGGTGAGTACCAAAGGTATGTAAATATAGTTTGTAAGCATGTACAATTTCAATCTATGAATATGAAAGTAAAGTTTATTATGTTCAACAAAGCTTACATAAAAGGATTTAGTTAAGTTTCTCATGATTCCTCGGCAGTACAGATAGAGATTTTAAAAGATTTTCAAAATATTGATTTTGAATGGATGTTAGTCATGCCAAAGTACCCGTCTTTGATAAATAGTTTAAGGGAAAAAAGCAGTTTTCTAACAAAATTTGTAGTACCTTGTGTGTGAGTTATCTTTTAAAATTTCGTTCCAAGTAGAAACTTGATTCTGAAAAGAGTTTGGATAGAGGTGAAAACAGAGACTCTAGATACTGTGAGATATCGTCTGTGGAAACACGGCTAGTTCTCTAGAATGAGAAGTGCAATCTTAATTGAAAAGCCTTTTGCGGAAGCAGTTGTGGACTCAAATGATTTCAAAAATATTTTAAATATTTACTTGATTCAGAAGTTGACTAAGTACATGCAAAGCATCTATAAGAGCATACTGGAGGGAAAGCCTGTTTATTTCCACTTGATTACTGTAAGTTATTTACTTGTTTTTACATGCTCATGCTTTAATGAACAATTCACATGCATCTACTTCCACTACTAAGGATGATAATAATCTTATTTTATTTTTAGATGAAAAAGATGTTTCGTTCTTACTTAAATTAGATAAAAAATTTGATAATATATTTCTTGTTGGTAAAGAAAAAATTGAAGAAATATATAGAGATATATATTATAATTGTAGAAATAATATAGGATTTGATTCTATAGGAACTAGTAGAGAAATAAGAAAGGTAGAAGATATCATAACCAAACATAGAAATATACAAGAAGAAATTTCAGAAGGATTATTTAAAGGATATATAACCAAGAAAGGTCAACCTATAATCTTTGAAAAACTATTAAAATATAAAGAATATTTAAAGGTGCTCAAAAAATTGAAAAATATAGATATAGGTCCTGATTGATAAATCCTTAAAGATATAGGATATATCTTACAAATAATTTTAGTAAGGGTAAAATAGTACTTTTCATAGGAAAGGCTATTGTGGAAAATAGACTCAATAATTCAGCCATTATAAAAACTAAAACTACCCCCCATATCGAGATGAGCATATAAAAATTTTGTATCTTTGATTCTTTAATTTTTGTATCTTTGATTCTTTTTATTTATGAATTGTTTTAGGTGGAATAAAATGGAGGTTTTAATATCAAAATAATTAAAATTTTTAAATGAATTTTAAAGACTATCTTGCTTTATTTTTTGAAACGCAGTACACTCTCCAACTCTCGTTCTTCGAATTTGGTGATTTGATATGATGGATAATGATCGTATCTTTTATTTTAATTGAGAAAGAATAAAAAAACAAATAGAGGCTAACCCTTTCTACCGTTTTCTTTTTTACATTTCACCTCCATTACCGCCTCTTTATCTCACCCTCGCCTGTGAGGTAGAGTAGAGGGGAAAAAACCAGAGGGCTGTACCTAAACCCATTCCTTTTCCCATTATAGATCATACTATTCTTCAAACACGATTTTTCCCCCTATTATATCCGAACTTCATTGAAAAGGATTCTAGAGAAAAAATCGGTACCTTTTCTTCGCATCTTTAGGTATATTTCTGGTGCTATTGACAAAATTTTTTTTACTCTTTTTTCCCCCTGATATGGTGGACTGTTGGTATGGGCACATTTAATATGTTTGCAGCCAGAAAAGAAGAAGGATATTAAACAAATAAAGAGTTGAAAGATGTGGAAACTCCGTCTGTGTATATCTGAGAAAGATCTGATCTTAAATGGGTTAACTTTTTCATTTTGAAATTATTTAGATGAGAACAGATAATTACTTGCATAAGTTGATGACTGTTCTTGTCTGATAATTATATTTTTGTTTTCCTTAATAGGATTCGGAGTATTTACCCAAGATGATTAGAGAAATAAATCAAACTCTTTTGTTTAACATTTATAGTTTTTTTCTACATTTTCCGAAGTGCCCTCACTTCTGTTGCATTGATTTTGGTTTGACTTCATTGACATTTTGTGTTTCCTGAAGCACGGTATCGTTTGGGATGGATTTCTAGTCACTTACGGTTTAATAGTGTTTCTTTATCTTTATCTCTTGTTAGAACATTGTATTGGTTTTACATTTTTAAGTTAGTGTTTGGCTTTTTATTTTTTCCATTGGTTTTAGGCAATAATGCGGAAAAAGGTTAAGAAGAAGGCAAGCAGTGGTCAAAAGGAGAAGAAAGGCTCTTCTGCTTCTCCAAAACCAATTTCCCAACAAAGCATTGACAATGTTAAAATTTCTGAGAATGGAACTGCAGTTGTAAATGATAGAAAAGTATGTTCACATATCACCAAGGGAATTAATTTGGAGAAAATTTCTTCTAAACTTGAGTCTTTAGAACCTATTGCATGTGAAGATTGTCGAGTTAGTGTGGCAGATAGATGGGCAGGTAGGGGAAAAGCTAAGCACGGGAAGAAGGGAGAGAGGGGTTCAAAAGCGGAGTCTAAAGCAATTTGGGTTTGTTTGGAATGTGGATTTTTCTCCTGTGGAGGTGTGGGATTCCCAACCACGCCTCAAAGTCATGCAGTTCGACATGCAAAACAACAGCATCATCCATTGGCTGCCCAATATGAAAATCCTCAACTGCAGTGGTGTTTTCCTTGCAATACATTAATTCCTGCTGAAAAATCAGGTGAACACAATGACGTCTTACATGAAATTGCAAAAATGCTAAAGGAGCCACCTTCTGAAAGGTCCAAAGCAGATGTTGAGGATGTTTGGTTTGGGACTGGCAGTGTGACTAGTGGAATAAAAGAACACACTTTGTCAATTGGTTCATGTGGAAGTGGCAATTATTCAGTTAGAGGTATTGTTAATTTGGGGAATACATGCTTCTTTAATTCAACTATACAAAATTTATTGGCTATAAATAAATTGCGGGATTACTTTTTTAAATTAGATGAATCTGTTGGTCCTCTTATTGCTGCTCTGAGAAAGCTTTGCCTTGAAACCAGCCCCGAAGCTGGTACAGGAAGTGTGATAAATCCAAGATCATTATTTGGTAGTTTTTGTTCCAAGGCTCCCCAGTTTAGGGGATTTCAGCAACATGATAGTCATGAATTTCTTAGATGTTTGCTTGATGGATTGTATACTGAAGAATTGAGTGCAAAAAAGCACATTAATTCATCTCAGGATGATGGGAAGTCTACCATCACAGATCTCACTTCTGTGCATGCTCTATTTGGTGGACAACTTTCTAGCACAGTTAGTTGTTTGGAATGTGCACACTCTTCAAAAGTTTATGAGCAATTTTTGGACTTATCATTGCCAGTTCCTACTAAGAAGCCTCCATCAAAAAAGGTGCAGACAGTCTGTCGAGGCAAGAAACCGAAATTGCCTCCAAAGAGAAGCAGAAAGATTTGCTCCGAAGTCAGTAAAGACACATTTATACTACCAGCTCGCAGTGTTGCTGGCCAATTAAGCGGTGACAACTCATCAGATGAGCTTCAGTCTACTTCCCTTCCAGCAGAGCAATTGGCGGCTTCAGATTCCACTAGCACAAATGACATAGCTAATGATATGGGTTTGTCACTCTGGGATATTTCAGCTATGGAAAGGGCTGATTACCAGCAAGCAACTGAGAATGTTGGAGGGAAGTCAAGTTCTTCGGATAGTTTTACATGGTTAGATTACCTCGAGCCTAATGCAGCATCAAATATCATTGATATGGCCTTAGAGATTGATGATCATTCTGGAAAACAGGATTCAGCTAATGAAAATGCTCATCAGAACAATGGCATGTTTCTGAATGCTCTGGAATCTAGTACTGATTGCAATTTACAACATTTGAATTCAACACCTTCCTCAGACAATGTGACACTGTTGGACTCTCTTGGGCAAGGTATATCAGCTAGCGAGAGTAATTTGCTTGCACAATCTGATGAGAAATGTTTGCCCAAATGTTCTGTAATCAAGGAAGCTTTTCAGGATGGTACTGATTTAGAGCGTAGCTCAGAATCCTCTAATCAGGTTTTCCGTAAAGATTCAAATCCTGATATTAGTTCTTCGAGGGATGAGGAATTGCCATTACAGATTCAAGATTCTGAAGTTCTGCTGCTTCCTTACAAAGAAGATTACCCATCTATTGAGGAAGTATCAAAAAGAGAAATTGAGGTCTCATCAACTCTTTGTAATGAACAAGATTCCTTAGATTTTGATGGCTTTGGAGACTTGTTCAATGAACCTGAGTCTGTGGCGGACAGCAATATTACTGTTTGTGAAGCAAGTGAAGTCATCAAAAGTGGATTTGGTGTTGGAAATAGCAGTGATTCTGATCCTGATGAGGTTGATACTACTGATGCTCCAGTGTCTGTAGAGAGTTGTTTAGCTTATTTCACAAAGCCAGAGCTTCTCTCCAAGGATGAACATGGTTGGCAATGTGATAATTGCTCAAAAGTTTTGCAAGAACAAAGGATTAGATTGAGGAAATTACGGAAAGCTAGATCAGAAATCGCAGTAGATGGGCTTAACTATAGAAATGCAAGTGATCCATTGACTGACAGTGGAAATTGCGCTGAAGTAAAACATGTGAATGGGAATGAGGTTATTGATAATAGAAATTCAACTGTTAAAAATTATCCACAAGCTGAGATGTATCCAATAGATCCCCAATTAGAAGACAGAAAATCTGAGAGTGTAAGTGTCTGTCCAGGTCCAGCTAAGGTTTCAACTTCGAGTTACCAAAATGGTGTTTATTTCATTGAAAATGAGGTCAGTGGTGAAAGTAGCATCGATACAACTCTGTCTGGAGAGACTGATAAGTTTGCTGAACAAAGTGAATCAGAAGTAAGGAGGGAAGGCAATGTGGATTCAGAAAAGTTGAAAGTGAAGAGGGATGCAACTAAGAGGATACTCATAGATAAGGCTCCTTCTATCTTGACAATCCATTTAAAGAGGTTCAGCCAAGATGCTCGAGGTCGATTGAGTAAATTGAATGGCCATGTGAATTTTAAAGAGAAAATTGATCTCAAAAGATACATGGATCCCAGGTGCGATTTTGTTTGTTTGTGGATAATCCGTTCAGTTTTTTCTTTCCTAATGCTAACAAGATTTACTTCTCTGTCATCAAAGTTTCCAATGAGAAAATGCTGCTTTATTATTGGGTGAAGGAAAAAGTAAACCTTTTGTTTCTGTAACTATTGAAATGGATAATATTTCCTCCACGTTTATGCTGTTAGCACCTGAAGTAGTTGCTTTTATCTTTCATAAATTGATTTAAAGTGTTGACTACTTTCATTGATATTTCATCATGAGAGAACATCAATTTATTAAGAGTGCAAAATGTCGGCAAGATACATTGCTCGCAGGAAATAGGCAACAGAAGTGTCTGTATTTAAAATAGCCTCATTAAGCTTAAAATGAATAATATTTATCCCTATCATTAAATATATGTTGGTCAACAAAGTAGATTTTCATCTTCACTTGTATTATCTGTCCGGAGAGAGATTGTTAATGTTTTTGGAGAATATCTTACAATGACTTTGTCTTCAACATGTTTCTTCTGCATTAATTCTTGGGCTTCAGAGGCAGCAAGGTTGTGCAGGGGATTGAGGGATTTGGTGGTTTAACTTTTAACTTGACTTGTTATTTTAGGAATTGAGAACTTCTCGTCCTTTTTAATTTTATATAATCCTTCTATAAATAAAAAAATTGTTTTCATAAAAAATCCTGAACATGTTAAAATATAATCTGTTTCTGTCAAGCAAAATGTAGAGTGTATGACATTGTCCTTTGCCTAAACTTGGTAGTGAATAAAGCCCAGGTTATTAATATCCCTGCCGAGGATGCAATATACAAATACCTTGTCTATCCCCCCTGTTTTCCAATATAGTATTTAAGTGATCTAATACCTTCTCATCAACTGCTAGACTGGTAAACACTAGATTGGAAAGTACTCTTTTGGAGGTTGAACTCCTGTTGAATGTCTCTTAAAAGCCAATTCTGTATCGAATATCCACAGTGATTGAAACTTTTGCTAATTCTTTTCGCACATTTCTCATGCCTACAATTTATCAACATACATTCTGACAGAATTTGAGATACATACAGCTTGAATTCCATATATACAATGACTTCTTGTTTGCAAGCTCTCTGTACCTTTTTTTTTTCTTGTTCCAGTACTTCGCCTAGAATCCCCTATTGGAAAAGCTTGATAATTTGGCAAAAATAATTTTGCAGCTTTTTAATTCTGTTGGGCATCTCAAGAGTGACATTAGTTAGGCATTTTGTTTCATAGATCAGACATGTAAGAGTTCCTGTCCGATTCTTAGTATTTCTTTAAGGTCGTCAAGTTCCATGAATTATATGGAAAACCAAAAAGTTAGAAGCTATGGCATATAACTGGTGCTAGCTTTAAATGCCGGATTATGTGAATATACTTGTATTATTTGACGACATCAATCTTATTTGAAAATTGATATTAAATATATATTGACAGAAATATTTAGCATCTCTGACATGTTACTTTTGGCCTCGTGTGTATAGTCATAGGTTGAATCTGGGGCCTTTCAGAATGCGTATTTATTTTCATATTTTCAGTTTGACTTCACCGGTTCCAGAAACCTTCCTTTGTCAAATGAGTTAATGGGAAAACCAGCCATTTCTTCTCGTATTTGCGTGGTTCATGGGTTACCTGCTATTTGACTGAGAGAATGCCTGGGTTAAGTATCTATGGAATCCCGTAGCAAGTTTACTTCTTTATTCCATGATGATTTGACATGGTGTATTGAAAAGAAAACACACTTTTATGATCTCATCCAAAGCGGAGCATCTTTTACAATGCTTTCTTACTTTACATAGCTGTATTGTTTCTGCCTTGATGGATTCCTCATATTTGTATTTCTATAGTGTTGATTGAGTATATTGCTTTTGTATAGAAAACCTTCTCGGGCATATAGTGATACTGCTTCGATTCCTGTCAAAAACATAATGTTAATACTGCATTACTGAGAAGAATAAAGGTTTTACAAATGCTTTGAGAATTTTGTTGGCTTCTAAATTCTTATCTCTGTACTGACTTGAGGATAATAGTCTTTAAAAACAACTTAACACTCTTGTAACGTTCAATTAGTTCTCTAATCTGATCAGGGAATGGAAGAAGTTCCTGCCTCATATTGATAACGCCTCTGTTTGTTCTGCTCGAAGTGTATCTTGATCTTTGTGTGTCTAAACAACTTTGCAGAAAATGTTAACACCAAATCTTTGAAACCCCATCTGATATTCTACTCATGTAATCTACAGTTGCGCTGAGAGAGGCGTGTACGAGTATCGTCTGATTGGAGTGGTGGAGCATTTGGGGACCTTGAGAGGTGGCCACTATGTTGCGTATGTAAGAGGAGGTGCCAAAAGCGAGAATGGAGATTGCATGTGGTATCATGCCAATGATGCTCATGTGCACGCAGTTTCCTTGGAAGAAGTTCTTCGCTGTGAAGCCTACATTTTATTTTACGAGCAAACTTGAGGAAGATCTCATTTTTCTTTCTTTTCTTTTTGTTGTGAAGTTGAGGGGGGGCGGGGGGCGGGGGTAGATGAGTGTACAATATCAAAAACTTAATAGTCAATACACAATTTTTTGAGGTGAAAAATGGTTGAAAGCGTATAATTCTAAATTTTGGCCTTGGATAATATTCTTTTCTAGTTTTTTGGAGAAAGGTCTTTAAGTTTGGGGTTGGATGTTACATATATTTTACATGTTACTAGAATAGTAATGAGTTGCATTAAAAATGTTGTAATGTCTTTCTTCTGCCCCAAATGTTGCAGGGATTAGGAGAAATAAATGGGAATTGGGTGAGGAAGGAGAATAGTATTTATGCCTTGGACTCTTATTTATGTTTAAACAAAATAAATAATTGTGAGAAATGGAGATATGATACCTAAAAAACGGCGAGATGCGACCTAAATTTTCTAGCCCGCAAAGAGTAGCCATTTAAAGGTATCAAAATAGGGCCTGACTCTTAGGATTGTAGGTCGTCCTAGTGGATTGTTGTTGTTCGTAGCACAATTTCTGATATTAAGGATGCTCAGAAGAGATGTTATTATACTCATGTGACTGTTAAAGTAGTTGATTAATATGCTTTTTTCAAAAATAATATTAGCATTTTGATTGTCATTCCTACATCATTGCCGTCACTAATTTCATTTTGCAATTCAAGTGAACATATTCATTTAATCTCTTGTACTTTCACTTGACAAGATATGAGTTGCCTTTGGCAAAATATGTCGCGACATTATTTGATTTGACACATGGTACCTCCACTTCATTGGGGTGCCTTCTGAACGTATTCTCAAGTGAATAACTGTACTCTCTTGCTACTAATGTGTTTAGCATTGAATTTTAGTTATCATCTACACATCCTAAATACAGCAAATGAGGAGATAGAAAAGGTCCTATTAGACTAACTGAACTAGGTCAATGGAGAATTCGAAGCAAAAGACAATTAGAGGCTCACACAGTGCAAGTTACTGATGATGACAACAGTTTTAACCTATTTTTAGAGTCTTTCAACTCTTATCCAGGTACATGTGCCACAACAATAGCATTGTTAGCGTCTAGTGCATTCTTTCTTTAATCGGAGCTGAGATTTTTCCTTTTATCTTAATACGCTGTTAAAAAAAAAAAAAAAAAGAAAAGAAAAAAAAGAGGAAAAAAAAAAAAAAAAAAAAAAAAAAAAAAAAAAAAAAAAAAAAAAAAGAAATGCCAAAAGATGGTGTGCCACCGAACCATAGTATGAAGAGGAGTAGAAGGAAGAGTCATAGAAATACCAAAAGAGGGAGCAAGCTGTGTGTCAGCATGCCAATGTAGTGGTCGAAACAATCCTTTAGTGTGAAGGAAGGAAATCATACGATATACCCTCCAAATATTCGTTTGGGTCTCATGGGTTTATCCCTATGTTTTGCATCATTCCTCTCTATCCATATGAACCAGAAGATTAGTAGAGGAATAATGATACGAATATGCCCACTCCGTGTAAACTGTCCAAAAAATTGCCATCTAAGAAATCTCTGTCTAATGCTTTCACTAGCAATCATGGGGATCTAGAAAAATGCTGCCAAATCTGATGTGAAATATTGCTACCAGTGAAAGTATGACTGATGGTCTCAAATTTAGAATGACACTGGTACTAAGAAGCCAGTTGATTGCCTATCCTCCTTTGAATAATCACTGAAATTAAATCCTGCCATAATCTTCAATAGAAGAATGAGACTTTGGTAGGTATGATAGGGCTCCAAAGTATACGAAACAAGTCCTTCACTGGCCTACTAGAGCGAATCAACTGCCAAGCTGACTTGGTCGTGAGTATACCATCTGATGTAGCCCACCAAAAAATATGATCTGGTGGAGTTTATGTTTATACGTGTGTTTTTGTGCTTGAATAATAGTATTAGATCTCATGCAGAATAAGCATTAGGTTAATTATATTATCAGTAACCACAATTTTAATATATTTTTTAATTACTTAAATAGCCTTTAAGTAAAATTATATAGTCAGGATTTTTAATATACTTTTTAAAAAATAAATTATTGTTAGACCACAAGTTCCTCTATTTTTTTGTGTATGGTTGCTAATTCTTTGTATTTTTCGAACTAGGTTTTCTTTTTCATTGTCTCGTGGAACTTCCTCGAGAATATTTGCTGCCACGTTGAATTGTCTTCCTTCTGATATTGAAAAACCGTATGGCCTCAACCTGTGTCAAGAGTGTATTCTATTCTTTTCTAGAAGGAAAATGAATGTGGGTTTAATTATCTTTGGATCTTCACCATTGTGAAGCAATAGCTAAGAGGCATCAAAAGCTCAGAAAGTGGATACTGTTTGACTCTCTAGTGCACCAAATCTGCCCCTTCAATATGAAAAAAATTCTAGTTTACAGAACTCCCCTTCAATTGGATGCCATTCTAGCTAGGCTTTGGAAGGCAGCAAATCACAGTTTTAAAACCTCAAAATTTCACAACCATTCGACTTTTAGCAAGAATAGTCTCAAAATAATTAGGGTTTTCTTGCCCAAATATCAAACATATTATTCGAATCAAATCATCATCAAAGCTTTTTTTCTTCTTCTTTATCTTCCCCTTCCTTGAAAAAACAATTAAGAAAAAAAAAAGGTTTATGAGTACACCACAAGACACATATTTTTTTTTTTTTTTAATTATGAGTATATTTGTAAATTTATTGTGGTGTATATTAAAAGTGTATTTTAAATGTGGCGTCATTATAATGTAGTGCACTTAATAAATTTTGTGGTGGTAATATAATTACCCTAAAAATTAAGTATTTAGATGATAATTTTTTTTTTTTTTAAGAAATAAGGGTACGAGGGGTAATTTCAACTTAAATAAATTTAAAAACCGAACAAAAATCGTTAGCCCACCTAAGCATTTTGTGGTATCACATTGGATTGGACATTACTTAATGAAATTATCATTTATATAGTACTAAATTTAATTAAATTTAGTAACTAAATCAATCAAAAATAGTATTTTATGTTATAAATTAGAGAGAAAAAGATAGAAAAATAAGAAAAGTCTATAAACTTATGTATTTTATTAAAATCCAAAGCCTCATATTTATAGTGAAGAATTATAGCTAAAAGGGATATAACAATCACAATGACTTGTGTTGCACGGATATAAAGGTCATTCATAAATACTACTATATTTACAACTCCCTCTCGAATGACTATTTACATAACCACTATCCCAATAAAATATAATTTCGCAAAAATCTGATGGGAGAAAAATGCCAACAAATGAAAAGACTAAAATTAATTTGGAGTAATAAAATGTTGCCTCATTAAAATATTATCAAGAAAACCCAATGGAACAAAACGTGATTGAAGGAAAGAGATTACATCTACTCCTTTAATTTTAATTTTTGTATCAAGCAATACATGTCTTGTATATCAATGTCTTCAATGTTGACGTTTTTAAGAAAATTTAGTGGGATAAAACTTGTTGATTGTATAACATGGCGATTTGAAAAATAGCTCTTATTGACATTTTCAAGAGTCTCATATAAATAAAAACATTATTTTGAGGGTAAATATCTTGTATGTTATGGACGCCAATTGCACAAAGAATATATCTCGTTATAACCTTAATAGGAAAAATCCTATGAAAAAATTCTAATTAAGAAAAAAGAGTACATTATTTTTTTAAGTATGCTATCAAAACTATCTCATTAAAAACCTTATTAGGAAAATTCAATGGGACAAAACCTTGGTTAAAGGAAAAAGTGTATAACTCGTATTTACTCACCCTCATGATAATATTACTCGATTTATATACTTCAGGCCTAAAATATTTCAAAATAACATTAGTAGTCATGCTAGATGAGTTAGCCAATCAAATATATTTGATGCACATCAAATTTCATGTATTGTTGGACTAATAAAATAGAGATTTGTGATTAAATCAACCACACAAATTTATCTATTTACTCAAGTCTTCACAAAATTCGTTATATAAAGAGTCGTACATTTCATATTACGACTTTATATTCTGCCACTAAAACACTTAATATATAATTATATAATAATATACATATAATAGATATTTATAAAACAAAATTCACCAACGTAGTATTTTAATCTAATTAAATGGTTAAAATCATACCATACATGAGAAAATTAAACTTGGGGCTTTACAATTTTCATTTCATATAAGTATACACTTTTAGGCGTTTGGTCTTTAGATCCATAAATTTCAGGTTTTTCTAGTAATTCAATTTACTAGGGTTGCACCCATTTATTTTGCCAATTATTTTTTTGATCGATATGCTCCGATAAATTTATTTTGATTCTTCGCTATTCATATATGATACAATACATCATATACAAAATTGTTGTCGATAACTTTTTCCTTTTCGATTATATTTCTTTTGCATAACGACATAACTTATAAAGATATTTCAATTTTCAACATATCAAATATCTGAACTTTTTCTGGGGTTTTGTAATTTATTATGTCTAAACACTCATCAAGACTATATGGCTCCTTAATGAGACAATCTTTGCTAATTTTTGGAGACTTTTGTATTATAAGTCAATATCATCACGCGTCAAGCGTGCCATAAATTTAACAAATAGTCATCTAGGACTTTAACTCAAATTGGATCATTTAAAGCTGGTGAGTGAGATATTATTATTCTCTTTGGTTAGTAAATGTATCTAATTAAATTATCTTTCGAATTTATGGTTTGAATTATCTTTTGCGAGGATCTAAATAATATAATGATGCATTAAAATATTACTTTCAACTTCTTAATTTCTTCCCCTGATGTTGAAAAAATTGTTAATTCAAGTTGACAATCAGCAAATCGCGTTATAAAATATCACTCATTAGGACTTGAGATATTATATGAGGATTCAAAGCCACGCATTTATTCTTAGCATTCTATATGTTTCATCTTAGTGCATTATGATGGATCAATTTTACATATACTACACTATCAAAATAATTAGATAGAAAAATTAGGTTCAGACCATAAGTTAATTATAATAGGAAGAACAATGATGTTGGCATGATGCTTAATAGCATTCCCTAAACAAAAATGAGAAGTACTTTTTTATCAATTAAATTAATTGGAGGCATTTAAAAAAATAATAGTATTAAATCATTTATCGACATCTTAACTAATACTTATTAAAAAGTTGAGATTTAGGATCACCAGTAGTAATAAGACACACCTCGAGATTGTATAATTTGAAAATTATGCTCATAATTTGAGCAGTAATTTTGCAAACTTCAAGTTACGAACATCATACAATCATCTAGTATTTGTATCAAATTTATTATATACAAATAATATCTAGAAGGTC